AAGACCTCAGCCTTCAGCTGGCTCTGCTACTGACGAGACAGAGACCATTTTCACAGTATCCTGAAGACCTCAGCCTTCAGCTGGCTCTGCTACTGACGAGACAGAGACCATTTTCACAGTATCCTGAAGCCCTCAGCCTTCAGCTGGCTCTGCTACTGACGAGACAGAGACCATTTTCACAGTATCCTGAAGACCTCAGCCTTCAGCTGGCTCTGCTACTGACGAGACAGAGACCATTTTCACAGTATCCTGAAGACCTCAGCATTCAGCTGGCTCTGCTACTGACGAGACAGAGACCATTTTCTAAGCACTTAACCACCTCATAAGGACCAAGGAACTCATAGTCGCTTTTGCTGATGTGCATCTGAGAGTCTCGGTGCATTAGTACAAAATCACCGACTGAAAATTGCACATTGTCTCTTCTCCTTTTGTTCGCATTATCGCAGTTTTGCACAACGGACAGCCTTTCTGCTAATCGTTGACGATCCAATTCTCGGTTGCGCAAGGGAGTCAGATCCCTAGAAACATTCTTCAGCACGGCTTGTATCATCGGAGTTGAGCTTCGGATGCCCAAAAGCAGCTGTAAAGGAGTCGCGTTAATGGTTTTCTGTAAAGTTGAATTGAGAACAAGTTGAATCTTCCATAGCCCGTTCGGCCATTCTGCCTTTATTTGAGTATCAATTCTCATCAGGTTTCTAATGGTTCGCATGTAGCGCTCCACCTGTCCATTTCCCCTATGAACATCTGGAGTTACAAAATGGTATTCGATGCCCCATCGATCCAGGTATTTCGGAAACGTGGTGTTCTTAAATGACGTGGCAGCGTCCATTATTATTCGTCTAGGAGTTCCAAACAACGCTAGAACATTCTGCAGCTTTTCACGCGCCTCTGCAATAGTCACAGACTTCATGGGTGTTAAAATGCAGTACTTGGTAAAAGAATCCACTATTACCAAAACGTGTTTGAAGCCATCAGTAGAGGCTGGTAGAGGACCCAAACAATCCATGTGCAGCGTATGAAATGGCTCTTTCGGTAAGTCCACTGGGTGTATGAACCCCTGTAGAGGTCCTGTTCTCGTTTTCTTTACTGCACAAATTACACAATGCTTGACAAAATTTCTCATCCTCGGAAACCAAAAATGTTGAGCAATAGACTCATATGTCTTTTCAGGTCCAACGTGACACTGCTCATCATGGAAAATGCGCAATAGGCCCAAGCGACTTTGCTTAGGAACAAACCATTGCAAATTCGTCGTACCGTCAGCATTCACTTGCTTATGATACAGCATTCCATCGTTTTCAGTATACTGGTTTGCATCAAGGTTGCCTTCTCTGAGTTGTTGCAGCATATTCTGGACTTCTTCGTTCCCTTTTTGCTCGATGTATGCCCAACTCTTATGCGTCACTCGGCAAATTTTTGCAGGATTTCTGCTCAAATAATCAACATGCGGGAGACTACTTCCTTTTCGGTAAATTATTTCAAAATTGAAGTCTTGGAGGTACACCCACCAGCGAGCTATTCGGGGTACCAAGTCTTTCTTAGTAGAGGTTGCCTTGATGGAATTGCAATCGGTGACGATGACAAATTTAATCGGAAGCTAATAAGTTCGGAAGTGTTTCAAAGCTTGAACTATCGCTAAAGTCTCCAACTCGTAGGAATGGTACTTGGCTTCACAGTCGGTCGTTCGCTTACTGAAGTAAGCAACTACCTTGGACAGGTTTCCATGTTTTTGAATTAAAACAGCCCCATATGCGATGCTGCTTGCATCAGTATGCAGTTCTGTCGGAAGTTCCGGGTCATATACGGCCAGCAATGGTCTTGATGTTAGATGGTCAATAACATACTTCCTCGCATCTTCCTGTTCTTGACCCCAATGGAATGGGACACCTTGCTTGGTTAGTCGAGTTATGCATGCTGTCCGACTGGCAAACTCAGGCACGAACTTGCGGAAATACCCTGCTAGACCCATGAACTGGCGTACTTGTTTCACATTTTCTGGCGTCGGCGAGTTCATGAGTGCTTCAGTTTTGGCTTTTCCTGGTCTTACACAATCACCCGATACCTCTCTGCCAAGGTATTCCAGAGTAGATTGGAGAAATCGGCATTTTTTGATGTTCAACGAAAAACCTGCATCGCTAAGTGCCTTCAAAACACATCGTAGATGAGAAAAGCCCTCTTCTGGTGTCTTACTCGGGATCAAAATGTCATCTAGGTAAACTAGTGCAATTGAGTCCTTCAGGTTGCCTAGGGCGAGATTCACGGCTCTCTGAAATACGGCTGGAGCGTTAGCAAGGCCGAATGGCATTCGCAAATATTCGAAATGGCCGTCTGGAGTTATAAATGCTGTCTTGTGAATGGATTCCTCGTGAATCGGAATTTGATGAAACCCCGAAGCCATATCCAAAGACGTGAAGTATCGTCCTTTTCCGAGTCTGTCAAGTTGATCGTCAACCAGTGGCAAGGGAAATCTATCCTTAATGGTGACGCGGTTTAGCTCGCGATAATCAACACACATTCTGAACGAATTATCTTTCTTTTTCACAAGCAGTACGGGACTTGCGAATGGTGACTCACTAGGCCGTATAATTTGTTTTCCAACAAATCGTTCACAATTTCACGTACAGCGTCCCTTTCATTGGCAGCTAATCGATAAGGGGTACGATAGACGACAATGTCCTTTTCAAGACGAATCTTGAGGCTTACATTATTCACTGCACCAACTTTATTACCTGTTGTAATCATTTCACTGAAATCTCGCAGTATTACTTCAAGACCTACGCGCTCCTCTTCAGGTACCACTACTTCTGTGACAAAAGCACCAAAATCTTCTGAAACACGATTTATGCCGGGCAGCTGACGTCGCACAATGCGCGATCCTTGATGATCTGTTATGGTGACGAGACTTTCATCTTCGAAGATGTTACGTCCCACCAAAACGTCATAATCGAGACATCCATCAGAAACAAAAACAAAACACAACAAAATGTCAACACCAGAAATTTTCGCACATCCCGTAAACTTCTTTGTGGCTTTAATCGTAACGTTAGCTAATCCTTTCAAAATAACATTACAGCTAACAACCTTAGTTTCAAATAAATTGAGGTACCTACTTATCAGATATAAGTGATAAATCAGCGCCAGTATCAACTAAACAGGAAAACTTATAACCATCAACTAATATTTCGGTGGATCCAGCTGGTTTTCCACTGGAAAAACAATTTATGTTGCGACGTTTGTCAATAGCGGCTTTGGTAAAACAATTTGATGAGTTGTGACCTTTCTTAGCACAAAAACTGCAAATTTCAGAACTGTGTGATGTACTCGGTAAGTCGCGTTGATTTACAACGTTGTATCTGTGGTCTGACACTAACTTGGTTTTCTTGACGCAATTTGCTTTAACGTGTCCCAATTTCCCACACTGAAAACACTTCTTAGAATTCTTAGAAAAGACATTTTTTTTTGCTTATCAACACAAGAATATTTCCTTTTGAATGAAGAAGAGTCTGTTTCGGCACTGTTTTGCTTGTCATTACATGGATGCTTAACGAAAGGTGACAAGAAAACCAATAATTGAGAAATATTTCTGCAGTTAGCATTCATCGCGGCATTGCGCACTTTTAGTTCAGAAATTCCGTAAACTATGAGTTCAACCAGATCGCTTTCACACCAATTTGCACGTAAGTTCTTGAGCATGGCTGATTTTTCATGCACATAACTTTCATAAGTGTTGGCATAAGAACTATTGAATTTTGTTGCCTCCTCCAACAAACGCCCCAAATTTCTTTTTGGAGGAAATGCATCAATGAAATCATTTCGAAAGGTGACCCAATCCCTGTTATCTGGGTTCCAACGTTCAAACCATCTTTTGGCACCGCTTAGCAAAAATCGACCAATCCTTGCCAGAGTTTGAACGTCAGACCATCCAACTTCCTGCTTAATAGTTTCAATTTGACTTACCCATTTACTGGATTCATTTATTTCGGGTCTAAAATAGGGCAAGTCTACCTGTTCTGCCGACCTTTGGGACTGCAGGGCCTTCACCAATTCTGTTACCAGCGACTGGGCGGGGTCTTCGTCCGTTGAAGCCATTGTTGTTTCCTTACTAGCACCTCCAATACGTGATCCAGACACGCACCACGGCTCAACTTTCAAACTATTGCGAAGTAGTCCCAACGCTGGCCCGATTTCCTTTGTTCTCGCAAAACAACAACAACAAAAAACGCCAATGTTTACGAACAAATCACAATCCACTGTGGTTGTCGCGGGCGAATCTCACTTCTGATGTTAGAAACAATGCGGAAAAACACTAGTTTTGGTTAAATACACCTTTATTACGAACAAATATTGTTTATCGATATAACTGAGCGGCAGGGAATCCGGGCACGACGCGCACCGCCCAACGTTTCTGCTCAGACTGACTGTCGACGGCTGGTCGAAGTGATAACAGCAGATAACGCAGCAGTACTCTCCGTGACCGGCAGCGGCTCCCGAAAATTCTCGTTGCTTACAATATTGACCACTTAGAGTCCGTCCAAAGAAGTTTTCAAAATACCTCTCATACAAAGCTGACGGGATATAATCCTACTATTGGCTTTCCTCATAGTGAGTTGATGGTGAGACACAAAATCTATAATTTAGAGAGCAGCCGCAAAAAGAATTCACTTAAGTTCACTCATAAGCTCATCCATGGCATTATTGACTCCAGCGTCATCTTAGAACAACTTAACTACTTAATTCCTAGATTAGCGTCACGAACTAGTTTAACTCTTTACTTAGCCAGACCCAGGACTGACATGTATATAATGTGCCGTAATTATAATTCAGTTAATAGCGTTTTAGATATATTTTCGTTTTGTGCGACTTTGGGAGACATTAGTGCTTATTTTCGTTAATGCTTGCCGGTGTGATTGTTGAGTGCTGGGTAGGTAAAGCTACTACGCTTTTTTCCTCGCAGTTCTGTTTCGATGTTGCAGCGTTTTAGCTTTCTCTACATACATTCACTACATGCATTTGTTTATATTTTCATGTTTATCCATCCTGTAAAAGGCTATGGTTGTTGGATGTTGCTAAATAAATAAAAAATAAATACATAGATAAATTTCCTCTATACTTTTCGCAACAATGAAAAGTCTTATTCCGTTATATAAAAACATTTATTAATAAAAATATATACAAAGCTTCGCATTATTAATAATCCATATTTTATAGAGCAACATCTCTATACTTTTGTACATCATCTGCAGAAGTGTTGCTGAGTGAATTTTTGCTTGTCAGCTTGTCAACTTGTTTCTTGTAGATCAAGAAGTCTGGACCATCCAAAGGTCCGTAGTAAATTGGAACGCCATAGTTGGCGATTGGTTGTGCGTAAAATCCACTCCTGTTCTTGATTATGTGGCTTCCACCTTTATTTATTTCATTCAGAGCGTCGACCGACTGGCTCTTCGTCAATCTGTTGTTGCTACCTAGTTTCCACTTGTCCTGTAAGGTCACACCAAATAAGTAAGTGACAAATCGGTTTCCCTTAGGCCCAGTCGTCCTTACAATTGTAGGGCGCGTTTATGGACTCCTTGATTGTCATACTCCTTTCTCTCCTTCAAAAATTTCTAGATTACACTTGTCCCGTGTCAGCGTCAGCGCTCTCCTATTGTGAAGATATGTTTTCTTTTTAAATTGTAGGAAATTTCAGGCTGATAAAACATGATATAACTCAAAAGCAAGCACAATTTGATGCAAATAGATGTTTGTGACATAACCTCAAAATAGAGTTCTGACACGAAGAAGTAGAAAACTATGACAATCAAGGAGGCCATAAACGCGCCCTACAATTGTAGGGTCGACTGACGATACGGGCCTTAATTGGGTAAATGGTGAAGAGACTTGATCTGTTTACGTATTTCATATATCACGTTGATGACGTAACCGCCAATAACGGTGAATACAACTTACCACAGCTAACCATGATTCACTTAGGTGACTGTCAATAAATGTGAAGCTTTTGAAAATTTTCAAAACTGTTGATTTGAATTGCATCTAGAAGACCTACCTAAGCAAGCAGCACTGACTCTTTTAGCATCTAGATGCAACTGATCGTAACCATAATGCGTTAGCAAGCCACATCTGTACCTGTACCATCATTTACTACAGTGAAATCTTGGGCAGCTGAATTTAAACGTGGCCGTAAGAGCTTGGAAGGCGATGAACGTTCGGGACGTCCAGAAACTGCTCCTAGACGACCGTCGAATTGAGGTGAGAGAGATATCAGAGGTTATCAACATGTCAAAAGAATGTGTTTGTCACATATTAAATCAATATTTAGGCATGAGAAAGCTGTCCGCGCGTTGGCTGCCGCGTTTGCTCACGTTAGACCAAAAACGTTTAGGCGCAATAAATTCGAGTTTTGGCGCCGATTAATTACTACAGATGAAACTTGGATACACCATTATGCGCCCGAAACAAAAATCACCGACTGAAAATTGCACATTGTCTCTTCTCCTTTTGTTCGCATTATCGCAGTTTTGCACAACGGACAGCCTTTCTGCTAATCGTTGACGATCCAATTCTCGGTTGCGCAAGGGAGTCAGATCCCTAGAAACATTCTTCAGCACGGCTTGTATCATCGGAGTTGAGCTTCGGATGCCCAAAAGCAGCTGTAAAGGAGTCGCGTTAATGGTTTTCTGTAAAGTTGAATTGAGAACAAGTTGAATCTTCCATAGCCCGTTCGGCCATTCTGCCTTTATTTGAGTATCAATTCTCATCAGGTTTCTAATGGTTCGCATGTAGCGCTCCACCTGTCCATTTCCCCTATGAACATCTGGAGTTACAAAATGGTATTCGATGCCCCATCGATCCAGGTATTTCGGAAACGTGGTGTTCTTAAATGACGTGGCAGCGTCCATTATTATTCGTCTAGGAGTTCCAAACAACGCTAGAACATTCTGCAGCTTTTCACGCGCCTCTGCAATAGTCACAGACTTCATGGGTGTTAAAATGCAGTACTTGGTAAAAGAATCCACTATTACCAAAACGTGTTTGAAGCCATCAGTAGAGGCTGGTAGAGGACCCAAACAATCCATGTGCAGCGTATGAAATGGCTCTTTCGGTAAGTCCACTGGGTGTATGAACCCCTGTAGAGGTCCTGTTCTCGTTTTCTTTACTGCACAAATTACACAATGCTTGACAAAATTTCTCATCCTCGGAAACCAAAAATGTTGAGCAATAGACTCATATGTCTTTTCAGGTCCAACGTGACACTGCTCATCATGGAAAATGCGCAATAGGCCCAAGCGACTTTGCTTAGGAACAAACCATTGCAAATTCGTCGTACCGTCAGCATTCACTTGCTTATGATACAGCATTCCATCGTTTTCAGTATACTGGTTTGCATCAAGGTTGCCTTCTCTGAGTTGTTGCAGCATATTCTGGACTTCTTCGTTCCCTTTTTGCTCGATGTATGCCCAACTCTTATGCGTCACTCGGCAAATTTTTGCAGGATTTCTGCTCAAATAATCAACATGCGGGAGACTACTTCCTTTTCGGTAAATTATTTCAAAATTGAAGTCTTGGAGGTACACCCACCAGCGAGCTATTCGGGGTACCAAGTCTTTCTTAGTAGAGGTTGCCTTGATGGAATTGCAATCGGTGACGATGACAAATTTAATCGGAAGCTAATAAGTTCGGAAGTGTTTCAAAGCTTGAACTATCGCTAAAGTCTCCAACTCGTAGGAATGGTACTTGGCTTCACAGTCGGTCGTTCGCTTACTGAAGTAAGCAACTACCTTGGACAGGTTTCCATGTTTTTGAATTAAAACAGCCCCATATGCGATGCTGCTTGCATCAGTATGCAGTTCTGTCGGAAGTTCCGGGTCATATACGGCCAGCAATGGTCTTGATGTTAGATGGTCAATAACATACTTCCTCGCATCTTCCTGTTCTTGACCCCAATGGAATGGGACACCTTGCTTGGTTAGTCGAGTTATGCATGCTGTCCGACTGGCAAACTCAGGCACGAACTTGCGGAAATACCCTGCTAGACCCATGAACTGGCGTACTTGTTTCACATTTTCTGGCGTCGGCGAGTTCATGAGTGCTTCAGTTTTGGCTTTTCCTGGTCTTACACAATCACCCGATACCTCTCTGCCAAGGTATTCCAGAGTAGATTGGAGAAATCGGCATTTTTTGATGTTCAACGAAAAACCTGCATCGCTAAGTGCCTTCAAAACACATCGTAGATGAGAAAAGCCCTCTTCTGGTGTCTTACTCGGGATCAAAATGTCATCTAGGTAAACTAGTGCAATTGAGTCCTTCAGGTTGCCTAGGGCGAGATTCACGGCTCTCTGAAATACGGCTGGAGCGTTAGCAAGGCCGAATGGCATTCGCAAATATTCGAAATGGCCGTCTGGAGTTATAAATGCTGTCTTGTGAATGGATTCCTCGTGAATCGGAATTTGATGAAACCCCGAAGCCATATCCAAAGACGTGAAGTATCGTCCTTTTCCGAGTCTGTCAAGTTGATCGTCAACCAGTGGCAAGGGAAATCTATCCTTAATGGTGACGCGGTTTAGCTCGCGATAATCAACACACATTCTGAACGAATTATCTTTCTTTTTCACAAGCAGTACGGGACTTGCGAATGGTGACTCACTAGGCCGTATAATTTTGTTTTCCAACAAATCGTTCACAATTTCACGTACAGCGTCCCTTTCATTGGCAGCTAATCGATAAGGGGTACGATAGACGACAATGTCCTTTTCAAGACGAATCTTGAGGCTTACATTATTCACTGCACCAACTTTATTACCTGTTGTAATCATTTCACTGAAATCTCGCAGTATTACTTCAAGACCTACGCGCTCCTCTTCAGGTACCACTACTTCTGTGACAAAAGCACCAAAATCTTCTGAAACACGATTTATGCCGGGCAGCTGACGTCGCACAATGCGCGATCCTTGATGATCTGTTATGGTGACGAGACTTTCATCTTCGAAGATGTTACGTCCCACCAAAACGTCATAATCGAGACATCCATCAGAAACAAAAACAAAACACAACAAAATGTCAACACCAGAAATTTTCGCACATCCCGTAAACTTCTTTGTGGCTTTAATCGTAACGTTAGCTAATCCTTTCAAAATAACATTACAGCTAACAACCTTAGTTTCAAATAAATTGAGGTACCTACTTATCAGATATAAGTGATAAATCAGCGCCAGTATCAACTAAACAGGAAAACTTATAACCATCAACTAATATTTCGGTGGATCCAGCTGGTTTTCCACTGGAAAAACAATTTATGTTGCGACGTTTGTCAATAGCGGCTTTGGTAAAACAATTTGATGAGTTGTGACCTTTCTTAGCACAAAAACTGCAAATTTCAGAACTGTGTGATGTACTCGGTAAGTCGCGTTGATTTACAACGTTGTATCTGTGGTCTGACACTAACTTGGTTTTCTTGACGCAATTTGCTTTAACGTGTCCCAATTTCCCACACTGAAAACACTTCTTAGAATTCTTAGAAAAGACATTTTTTTTTGCTTATCAACACAAGAATATTTCCTTTTGAATGAAGAAGAGTCTGTTTCGGCACTGTTTTGCTTGTCATTACATGGATGCTTAACGAAAGGTGACAAGAAAACCAATAATTGAGAAATATTTCTGCAGTTAGCATTCATCGCGGCATTGCGCACTTTTAGTTCAGAAATTCCGTAAACTATGAGTTCAACCAGATCGCTTTCACACCAATTTGCACGTAAGTTCTTGAGCATGGCTGATTTTTCATGCACATAACTTTCATAAGTGTTGGCATAAGAACTATTGAATTTTGTTGCCTCCTCCAACAAACGCCCCAAATTTCTTTTTGGAGGAAATGCATCAATGAAATCATTTCGAAAGGTGACCCAATCCCTGTTATCTGGGTTCCAACGTTCAAACCATCTTTTGGCACCGCTTAGCAAAAATCGACCAATCCTTGCCAGAGTTTGAACGTCAGACCATCCAACTTCCTGCTTAATAGTTTCAATTTGACTTACCCATTTACTGGATTCATTTATTTCGGGTCTAAAATAGGGCAAGTCTACCTGTTCTGCCGACCTTTGGGACTGCAGGGCCTTCACCAATTCTGTTACCAGCGACTGGGCGGGGTCTTCGTCCGTTGAAGCCATTGTTGTTTCCTTACTAGCACCTCCAATACGTGATCCAGACACGCACCACGGCTCAACTTTCAAACTATTGCGAAGTAGTCCCAACGCTGGCCCGATTTCCTTTGTTCTCGCAAAACAACAACAACAAAAAACGCCAATGTTTACGAACAAATCACAATCCACTGTGGTTGTCGCGGGCGAATCTCACTTCTGATGTTAGAAACAATGCGGAAAAACACTAGTTTTGGTTAAATACACCTTTATTACGAACAAATATTGTTTATCGATATAACTGAGCGGCAGGGAATCCGGGCACGACGCGCACCGCCCAACGTTTCTGCTCAGACTGACTGTCGACGGCTGGTCGAAGTGATAACAGCAGATAACGCAGCAGTACTCTCCGTGACCGGCAGCGGCTCCCGAAAATTCTCGTTGCTTACAATATTGACCACTTAGAGTCCGTCCAAAGAAGTTTTCAAAATACCTCTCATACAAAGCTGACGGGATATAATCCTACTATTGGCTTTCCTCATAGTGAGTTGATGGTGAGACACAAAATCTATAATTTAGAGAGCAGCCGCAAAAAGAATTCACTTAAGTTCACTCATAAGCTCATCCATGGCATTATTGACTCCAGCGTCATCTTAGAACAACTTAACTACTTAATTCCTAGATTAGCGTCACGAACTAGTTTAACTCTTTACTTAGCCAGACCCAGGACTGACATGTATATAATGTGCCGTAATTATAATTCAGTTAATAGCGTTTTAGATATATTTTCGTTTTGTGCGACTTTGGGAGACATTAGTGCTTATTTTCGTTAATGCTTGCCGGTGTGATTGTTGAGTGCTGGGTAGGTAAAGCTACTACGCTTTTTTCCTCGCAGTTCTGTTTCGATGTTGCAGCGTTTTAGCTTTCTCTACATACATTCACTACATGCATTTGTTTATATTTTCATGTTTATCCATCCTGTAAAAGGCTATGGTTGTTGGATGTTGCTAAATAAATAAAAAATAAATACATAGATAAATTTCCTCTATACTTTTCGCAACAATGAAAAGTCTTATTCCGTTATATAAAAACATTTATTAATAAAAATATATACAAAGCTTCGCATTATTAATAATCCATATTTTATAGAGCAACATCTCTATACTTTTGTACATCATCTGCAGAAGTGTTGCTGAGTGAATTTTTGCTTGTCAGCTTGTCAACTTGTTTCTTGTAGATCAAGAAGTCTGGACCATCCAAAGGTCCGTAGTAAATTGGAACGCCATAGTTGGCGATTGGTTGTGCGTAAAATCCACTCCTGTTCTTGATTATGTGGCTTCCACCTTTATTTATTTCATTCAGAGCGTCGACCGACTGGCTCTTCGTCAATCTGTTGTTGCTACCTAGTTTCCACTTGTCCTGTAAGGTCACACCAAATAAGTAAGTGACAAATCGGTTTCCCTTAGGCCCAGTCGTCCTTACAATTGTAGGGCGCGTTTATGGACTCCTTGATTGTCATACTCCTTTCTCTCCTTCAAAAATTTCTAGATTACACTTGTCCCGTGTCAGCGTCAGCGCTCTCCTATTGTGAAGATATGTTTTCTTTTTAAATTGTAGGAAATTTCAGGCTGATAAAACATGATATAACTCAAAAGCAAGCACAATTTGATGCAAATAGATGTTTGTGACATAACCTCAAAATAGAGTTCTGACACGAAGAAGTAGAAAACTATGACAATCAAGGAGGCCATAAACGCGCCCTACAATTGTAGGGTCGACTGACGATACGGGCCTTAATTGGGTAAATGGTGAAGAGACTTGATCTGTTTACGTATTTCATATATCACGTTGATGACGTAACCGCCAATAACGGTGAATACAACTTACCACAGCTAACCATGATTCACTTAGGTGACTGTCAATAAATGTGAAGCTTTTGAAAATTTTCAAAACTGTTGATTTGAATTGCATCTAGAAGACCTACCTAAGCAAGCAGCACTGACTCTTTTAGCATCTAGATGCAACTGATCGTAACCATAATGCGTTAGCAAGCCACATCTGTACCTGTACCATCATTTACTACAGTGAAATCTTGGGCAGCTGAATTTAAACGTGGCCGTAAGAGCTTGGAAGGCGATGAACGTTCGGGACGTCCAGAAACTGCTCCTAGACGACCGTCGAATTGAGGTGAGAGAGATATCAGAGGTTATCAACATGTCAAAAGAATGTGTTTGTCACATATTAAATCAATATTTAGGCATGAGAAAGCTGTCCGCGCGTTGGCTGCCGCGTTTGCTCACGTTAGACCAAAAACGTTTAGGCGCAATAAATTCGAGTTTTGGCGCCGATTAATTACTACAGATGAAACTTGGATACACCATTATGCGCCCGAAACAAAAATACAGTCCAAAAGAAGCAAAAATTGTTTTTTTCAGCTGGGAAAGTGATCGCGACCGTTTTTTGATAGTCATGGAGTTATTTTAATGGTTTATCTTCAAAAAGGAATAACCATTACAGGAGCATAGTACGCATCATTTCTTGACAACCTGAAGGCAGACTTGAGGAAAAACGGCCACATTTTGAGAAAATGAAAATAATGTTTCGCCAAGACAACACACCGTCTCACACCTCAGCGGTTGCCATGACGGAAATCCACGATTTACGGTTTGAACAGCTTGTCCTTACTCACCAGATCTAGTCCCAAGCGACTTATTTTTGCTCCTTTATCTAAAAATTGCGATTTTCGTCAAATGAAGAGCAATCACCTTCGTGCACAATTATTTTGCAGAGAAAAACCCCAAGTACTATTTGGACAGATTACAGAGATGGGAGCATTGCTGGGAGAAGTATGTAGCGTTACAAGGAGACCATGTTGAAAAATAAAATAAAAACCAGAAAAAATGTCTTGTATCTTTGTTAGGTCGGAAACTTTTCAGACCACCCTCATAGCAACGAAGTAGCTTTAAATTTTTGGCTTATATAACCCAACTCATCGCCCGAAGCTTAATACTCTTAATAAGGAGGCGTTTAGTATTAAGTATGTTATCACCACTTCGTAGATTTGGTGCGAGTTCAGATACATCCATCTCATAACATTATTCGCCCCTTATGCCGCTGTAGCCCTTAAAATTGTCTGGTTTAGGGGTTACCAGACCTGACAGACTTACAAACTGACACTGTAACTCAAGAGCTAAGGTCCCACGGACCGCTCTGACAACCAACGATGACTTGCCACTGTAGCTTACTTACCTTGTCTGTTAGATAATTTGGAACTAAAGCACTGCTAGTTTCAGTGATCGACTGCTGTATCCAAGAATGATGTTGATTAGGCATCTTGTCTATGAAGGGCTGGTCTTCCAAATACCTGAGATCCATAAGGGATAACGCCCGCTTTCCTACAAAAATACAAAATATGAAATATATGAAAGTATCAGAATCATTGAAAACTGTGGCAATATTTCGGTTGCCTAACAATAGCATAAACACATGCCTACTGTACGTATAGACATCGCTCATGTAATGAGATACAGATACAGATAAAGTTGATAAAACATACCTAGGCAGTGAATAAGTATTACATGCAGTAAGGCACTGAACAGCATAGCAAGACATAAAAAATATGCTAAATCTACCCACCTGGAAGAGATGCGTCACTGTAAGCAAAGTTTGGCACAAAGATACTTGCATTGAATTCACTTTGCGTTGTGTAAAACTGGTAACTGTCATACGGTATAGATAATAAATTATTTGGTACGGGCAGTGGATTATTCCACAAATTCGGAGTAGAACCATACCTACAATATTAAATGTTATTTTCTCATTGCTCTTTGAAATGGAGTTGCTCTACATAATAGTACGGTGTTCCAGTTATCTTAAAGTATCCACTTTTTGTACAGTGCTTTTGAAAAGGGCCACCTTCTCTACTTATTGTTTGAACGGGTCAAGTTAGAAAGATAAATTTGGGCTACTGGAGTTGTTGCATGAATGCTATGTTTTAGCGTGAAGGTGGTGGTTGAAAATTTTTGAGATTTCGGGTAGGCGCCCTTTCCAAATATTTTTTTAATTGGACTGAGGAGTCGTGTGATACTTCATTTTTAAAGTCGCAACGTATATATACAGGGTGACTTTGAAGTTGAGTCATTAATTTTCAGATAATGATTGTAGAAGGAAGATAAACCAAAATATGTGTGTAAAAATAAAAAAAAATAAAAAAAAATGTTTACCTTGTTTTATAAAGTATCTCCCGACAAGTATTCCAGTGCGGACCTGTATTTGATCGTGAGGTCCCCTGTGAGGTCTTAAGTCACCTGATTCACAAGCCCGTTGTACTACATTAACAAAGGCACGAGGGGTTGGTTGCACTCGATTGGGAAACCGATCCGCATAAACATGTGCCATTGTTTATTTCGTTTGAGCCACGCAACACATACCACGATTCACTGACACTAACTGTATACAAATGAATGAGATACCTGTAAAAACATCGTTCCAAATTCTTTCGCTTTTTTGTTTCCGATGCGATGAACCGATACGGCGGATTATATCCATTGTCGCCAAACACGACCACATAATATTGTTATTGAGACAGGGCGGTACTCAAACTTCCAAAGGGCTATAACTTTGTTACTTTAATTTTACCAGGAAAATGGTAAAGGAAAAAAACATTTCTTTTGATCAGATCTACTCACTGTTAAAATAAATGACTCAACTTCGAAGTCACCCTGTATATATAATAGGAAAATAATGGCCAAAATCCGCAAAAAGAAGGAAAGTGGATTCGAGCAGAAAATAAGATAGGTAACCTGAGCGATACGAATTTCTGCTGGTTGGCTTCATCAGGCCCGAAATGAATGCACATATGTAACTACAAAAGTAGATACACATGCCCATATATCCGGATACGGGTGTAACCTGGGAAAACGAAGATTGAGAGGAAAAGAAATCACGAGCCTGATGAAGCCAACCAGCAGAAATACGTATCGCTCGGGTTATCTATCCTATTTTCTGCTCGAATCCACTTTCCTTCTTTTTACGGATTTTGCCCATTATTTTCCTATTTTTTGTTATATACCTTTTTCCGCATGATCATTTTCTCTTTATACAGGGTGACTTCGAAGTTGAGTCATTTATTTTAACAGTGAGTAGATCTAATCAAAAGAAATGTTTTTTTCCTTTAACATTTTTCTGGTAAAATTAAAGTAACAAAGTTATAGCCCTTTAGAAGTTTGAGTACCGCCCTGTCTCAATAATAATATTATGTGCTCGTGTTTGGCAACAACGGATATCGGTTCATCGCATCGGAAACAAAAAAGCGAAAGAATTTGAAACGTTTATCACGATGTTTTTCGTCAGTCGGTAACGCGTGAGTGAATAGTGGTGTTTGTTGCGTGACTCAAATGAAATGAAAAATGGCACATGTTTACGAAAATGCTGAACTTGTGGACATGATTCTTATTTACGGGGGGGCAGTCTTTACAAAATGCTGCCGGATGCATCACGGATTTATGCGAATCGGTTTCCCAATCGAGTGCAACCAACCCCTCGTGCCTTTGTTAATGTAGTACAAAGGGCTCGTGAATCAGGTGACTTAAGACCTCACAGGTGAGCGCATGCCGGTGCTCCAAGACCGCACGATCAAATACAGGTCCGCACTGAAATACTTGTCGGGAGGATACTTTATTAAACAAGGCAACTTTTTTTTTATTTTTTTTTTATTGTTACACACATATTTTGGTTTATCTTCCTTCTAGAATCATTATCTGAAAACTAACGACTCAACTTCAAAGTCACCCTGTATATATATATATATATATATATATATATATATATAATATCTTCTCTTGGCAGGCTCCATCCGAATATGTAATACAGTGTGGGAGAGAAAAATGTCAAAATACGTCATTTTTTTAAACAGAATGTCTCAAATTAATATAACATACTATGACATTTTGATGATTAGTACAAAAGCGCTCAACTTTGATATCCATTTTGAGAGATAGTAATTATTTGATATTCGAGGGTTACGAAGTACTTATAAGGAGCTCCAAAACAAGGCATCACATGACCCCCATTCTGTTAAAAATGTTCCAAGATGGTGCAGAGCTCGCATACTGAAATTTTGTTATATATACATATATATATATATATATATATATATATATATATATATATTAACAACAAGTAGGAAAACCTTTCACGGCATGATCATATCCTCTTTATATATATATATATATACGTATATATGTGTAGTTAAAATTCATTGCATTAATGCACTGTATATTTTGTATCAAACCGATTTCCAACCCGTCATTTTCCTTGAATATTTCGCTTACCTACTTAGCGTAGCATTGAGGTTTTCAATGGAGTGTTCATATCCATTATTTTGATAAAACTCACTATTCAATGGTGGTATTTCTTCACCTTGTAAAGTTATGGCAGCCATATTCAACTCTCTAAATCTCTTATTTACTAGGTCTTCGTCTTTCCATATTGTATATACAGATTGAACTAATACTACTTCTATCACATTAACGGAAATTCTAACTAACCAACAGGCTAGCTCGGTCATACCGTACAGGTTTTCTATTCTCTGAAACAAAATAAAAAGTATAACTAGTAGACCAACAGTTCTGCTTGTGAGTGGTATTTTACAAAAATGCTTTAACCCTTAAACTTCAAGTTAAAGAGATAACAACCTTATACTGAGAATGTTTTTACCGGTTCTTAATTTGGAAGCAGTAGTTGGCAGTATGATCAATTTGAATAGACAGATGGTTTTGCTCTCAATAGATTTGGACCAAGAATGTGGAAATATTTCCATAAGAGTACAGAATCTTCAAATTACAGTAATTTATTTTCAAGTCACATCATTTTATAATTAAAGGAATTCTACTGCCTTATAGTTATTCACGTGTCCAGAGTATCAAGAGAGCATTTATGACGTAATCAACGCCTATTAGTCCCCCGAGATTTCAAGATGCATACAAAACTTTTCTACGATTAATCCAAATAATTTTTTCTTTCGTGGAATCAAAAATTAAAATAAACTAAAAGTGATAGCAAAAGTGACGTCTATTACCAGAATCAACCACTGCTATAGTAAGGAGCAGCTATGTGTTGGAACTGTAAAGGTATCTCAGTTCTCATCGAAAGCCAAGTTCTCACTGTTAACCGTGTCATGCTATCGATTGAAAACCAATAATGCTGCTTTAGCTTTGCTCTAATTTCGTTCACTGACCTTCCTAGAAACCTACCTAGAACGTGTCGATGATTTCCAATAAGCATTAGACAGATGTACATGGTTGGAGCTCTGGTCAGGTAGACAAAAGCAGTGTTATTAAAATAAACCGGCCAATATTGCGCTATCGCATAGCAACTAGTAAATAAGCGGGCGCTAGAATTACTTTACCGCCCTAGAGCGAAAAGTCATCCACAGTAAGTGGGACTCAACGCTCGGAAAACCTATTCATAAAGAACTCTTTTCTGTCTGATCGTCTGTTAAATAAAATTGGTGTTCCAAGTATTTGCAATTGTCAATAAAGCTCATAGCTTCAAGAACACTCATATTGTTTTAGCTATTATCAAAAGAATGCGCTGGTTTGGAAGAAAACTGTCATAACTCAAAAACTGCTATTTTTAATCATGACCAACTAGGGCTAATGGACCCATATCAATATCAGGAATAATTTCACAAATTAATGTTATTTACTATGTGCTAGATGGCGCAAAGTGACAGTTTGATATTTTACCAAAGTTGTATATATTCATTCACTTTTTCAGTCAAGGTGGACGAGAGAGAGAGAGAAAAGCGTACAACACCATGCAACTTGCGTACTTCTCTCTCATACACAAGATTCATGAAATTTTAGTTTATACTCGATAGGATTACTGTTATAATATAACGTGATTCTTTCGTAATTTCGTGGGCGTCTAGACCCAATGAATTATTATTATTACTTACCCAATACTGTATACTCATGTATATGACCATACCAGCTTCTGGAAATGTCAGTACAGTCACGGAAAACATCCACGCTATAAGGCACACTGAATTTTTCTGGAAAATAGAGATGATTTTAGCAACGCCGTACTTAAAAATAATGCTCTAACAAAAGCTCAATGACGCACATAAGGATGTCGGCTTGCCACGTCCACGAAAGAGTCATGTGTATAGTCGAGAATACACGATGTATTTCTTTAGGCAAAGACAAATGAATACTACAGGATCTGTTTGCTTTCCATGTCTGAGACCATAACCAACCAAATAAAATGTTGTTTCATACTTTTAAACAATCAGCAGTGGAATATAGGTCTAGTAATTTGGAAACAGATGACGAAAAGCAAACAAGCCCATATCGATCTACTGAAGAACTCAGTATTGTAGCACCTTACTCATAGATGGCAGTGCCTTGCTTTATTTTTCCCAAACTCGAACATTTTTAGACTAACGAATGGGGAAGTTTCCTATTTTTGCAACATACTAAAAATGATAGTGTAAGTAAAGTGAAGTTCAGCACTGAAATACATTTTTGAATATCTTCAAAAAATTACAAAGTTACGCCACCCAGAAGTTTCTTATTTAAACAACTGTCTTGTTGCAGCGCGAGGCTGAGTGATGACGTCACGTGACACCAGGTACCATCGCTACCACAAAGCGATGCGCCCGCCGCGCAAGCTTCCCGCCATCTACAAACATTGTTCTACTCGGTATTCACGATTTACGGTAAAAACGGCTTGAACCTTTGATTTACAAGTACTGTGTTTTACATAGGTGTACAACGGAATATCAGGTCAAAAATAATATGTTTACATGTGTCAAAACATAGAAGAACTACAAAGGTAATAAACAGGGGCAGGGAGGGTAAAATCATCTCTTTCGGAAATATTGTACTAATGTAAATATCGTTTTGATGTTAGTACGTATTCAGTTAATATGGTAAAATTGATCAAAGTAAATATCTGTGTATGATGGATAAATAACCTAATTAATGTAAACAAGAACGGGAATAGGTTTGATAAATGCTATTACTTATTATATTGTTGAATACTGTTCTAAAGATTGCTTTGTGTAGGAACCTTGTCTGTGTCGACGTGAAGATGCATAGTTATGGTCCAGGAACCAAAAAACCTGACCAAAAGTCCAAAAAAATGTATAAGAAAATAGTGGCATGTCTTAAAATAATCAGCTGAATTAAGTTGTGGCAAAATGGATTGCGTAGTCGACGGTATGTATAACTGTTATGAGAAGGGATTATATTACTCGCCAATCGGTACATACCACTATACCACTATGTAATTGATATTTTCCGTAATTAGCGAATTTGAAAAGAGATAACAAAAAGCCCAGGGTTCGCACAAATTATCTCTTAAAAACACAAAAAACTGTATTTTGAGCGCAATCAACAAATTTTTTGCAAACATAGCCGTAATACTGGGTCCGTCATTTATTTTTTTTTATAATCGATATTCAATTTATTATTAGCGATCTTAAAAATGCTTAAAACTTAGTTTTGAGCCCAGTCACAAAATTTTTTTAGACAAATATAAACCATATTAGATCCACCATTTTGGTCTTTGACAAATGGATATCATGTTCGTTTTCAGCAATCTGGAAGACGTAGGAATGGATTTTTTTGTAAAGTTAGTGAATTTCTCTAATTCCGGCAATATTTCACGACTTTTGAGCCATTCTGGCGCCGATCGTGTGTGGGCTTAATTATAAACGTTAATGCGCGCCAAAGCATGTTTCGAATAGTATATTTAACTATTAAACACTATTGTCTCTATCTTTAGAAGCATAGTGAAATCGGTACTCAGAAGACCTTCCACTTTATTTATTGTATATAATATCACATAGCAGTCTAAGCCAAGATACAAACAATATATTGCGACTGGTCAGCTTGAGCGCCAAAGATGGATGCGATATGCAAGGACCGTCACGTCAGTGTAGTGTCCCAGAGTTATCGGAATGGTTGTTTCAGATTTGTGAAAGATGCCAGTTACACTAATACAGTGTCCGTCAGAAAGAAAGCATGCTTCCTAAATGAGTAGTACAGTCAAACTAAGTATGGGAAAAATATTTTGTTATATCAAAATACTCAGAAATACATGCCATCCTTTTGAGTAAAACAAAATTTATGTTCTAAAAACTATGTCGGTCATATTTATGGCGCCCTTGACTTCATCACTCATAAACAACGTCATGTCATTGTTATCCAACTGTTCAATCATGAGCTTTGCAAAATTAACACGTTGTGCATAATCCCCTGGCAACAGTTCTTCAAGATGAGACGTACAGAGGACGCGTGGATCCCTAGGGAACTGGCACGCAAACGGACGGAACGATTCGGGCTTTGCAGCGTGTCAACTCTCACTCTGTCTACGTTTTCGGGGGTTCTAACAGTACGGTTTCGCACTAGCGGTTTTTTTGTTCATCACATTACCTGTTGTGTTGAATGCTTCCTCCGTTTTAAAAATGGTGTTATGGTCTCGTACTGTCCCACGACAGAGTCGCCATTTTGAAAGTACCGACGTATAGTGAACGCACGATGCTCAACGTTCCAAACCATCCTGCCGACTGAAACGACACTTCTCCCACTAACCAACACGCCCTTCTGCCACCGACACGGGACCAGCCCACTCGATATAGTACCCATTAGAAAAACACGCGTTCTTTCTGACGGGCCCTGTATATTGGAAGTGAAACTAGCAGTATTTTCGGCTATGGGAACCTTCCTAATTGTGTGGGATTTTTGCGGCCATTGTTCGAACTATTTACTATAACTTGGACAAACAGCCAAACAGGGCGGCGTCAATTATTGTTCGTTCTTGACGTTTCATAATCACCAGATGGCATCTTCAGAAACGCTTTGAAGTTAACTCTTCGATCTCTTCCGAGAAACTGAACAAGCTGCTGCAGGGTTAGGGGTCGGGTGTCCCACCTACTGTTACGGTTGTTTTCTTCCCTACCGGACGGTGGTAGTAGTAGTACGGGAAGAAAGCACCCGTAACAGGTAGTAGGGGCACCCAACATTCGACCCTGGAACAGATATAAGTACCAATTGCAGAACCCAGCTTGATCATGGCTTCAATCTCCAGGAGGCAATTGGCCTCGTCCTGCTGGATGTGGAACGAGCCTTCGACCGAGTTTGGCACGTTGGACTCATCGCCAAAATGGAAGCCGCTGAAATCGATGCAAACATGTGCCAACTGATCCAGAGCTGTCTAACACGAAGATGGTTCAGGGCAAAGATTGGTACATGCCACTCAACAAGATGACAGCTGGAAGCAGGCGTACCCCAGGGGTCAGCCTTAGCCCCCCTGCTCTACAACATCTACACTCACGACGTACCGAAGACAGCTGACACAGTGCTGGCCCTATATGCAGACGACACTGCTACAGCCGCCAAGCATCAACGACCCGAGATCATCCGTAGGAGACTACAGGATGAACTGGACCACATCCAGGACTGGTGCGTGGAATGGAAAATCTGCATCAACGTCCAGAAGACGCAGGCAATCTTCATCCAACGAAGAAGGATTGCAACACCTCTCGAAGCAACCATCTTCGACGAAGATATCTAGTGGAGCGACAAAGTCAAATATCTGGGGATCGTATTTGACAAGTCCCTCACCTGGAAAGATCACATAGAAGCTGTCATCGCAAAGAGCAGAGCAGCTATGGCCCAACTCTACCCATTACTGGGTAGACACAGCCGGATGCCGCTAGCGACCAAGCTACGGCTAATCAATGCCATCGCCAGACCTCAGCTCGCTTACGCCTTCGCGGTCTGGGGGTACGCTGCTCCCAGCTACCGCAAGCGACTTGCTGCTCTAGAGATGAAGCTACTCCGGATCGCCACCAGTGCGCCATCCTACGTAAGAAACTCAATCTTGCGTAGAGACCTGCATTGGGATACCATTCACGAGTACATGAGGAAAAAAGCGGACAAGACCTTCCAGAAAGCTCAGGACTACCCGAACGAGCAGCTACGACTCCTCATGGACAACGATCCGGACGAGAGGCCTCACAACCGCAGAGCCAAGTACCCTAGACCCAAGTCACAGTTGGCAGGCGCTAACTGGAACCTTGACTAGGAGATTTCGCGGTTGCTCCCCCCCTCACGGCGTGGAAGCAGAGGACGAGGACCAGGACGACGATGATCAGATCCCATCAGGACCAGGAACCACCAGGACCAGGACCGATCAGGACCAGGACCAACCAGAACCAGGACCCATCAGGACCAGGACCAACCAGGACCAGGACCAACCAGGACCAGGTAACATGCAAGTAGCAGAGGACTTGAAACTCTTTATTTTTCGAAAACAAGAGTTTCAAGAGAACATAGCAAACCCTACATCGATGCTCGCTTAAAGACATCGATAGAACTGTGCGAGGTAAAGGGAACCAACCCGGCGTTCCCAGAGACTGAAACACATGAGGAGACGTTGTAGCAGACCGCAGGTCACGCACAACACATGGGCTACCGAGACGCTGATGAGTCGGGCCACGCGGAGGTTGGGGTTTAGTGGGTATTAGGTGGTCTACTCAAGACAACCTGGAGTCCCACACACGCCGTAACTCGGGCTATGGTATGGTGCATAAACGCATTCCCCCCTCACCAAAAAAAAAGCTTGATCAGAGTCCCGGAAGACACCGAAAAGTTATCTTCAAATCGCCTCTGAAGATGCCATTTAGTGGTGATAGTGGAACGTCATAAAATAATAAAAACCGTCGCCGACCGAACAGTCCAAGAAGAATGAATCGTTTAAGTTTGGACTGTTCAGTGAAGATTTAATGTTGAAAAAACATACCGTAGCTAATCCATGGATTAAAAGTGCTGCAAATAGCGCCATCGCGAAGTATTCTGCACACAAAAGCACTGCGGCAGCTGGTAACGCTGTCTCTGATTCCAGGATCCATAGTAGCTCGAAGGCAAATGCTATTAAGTAAGCAATCTGAAAATAAATAAAAGACTTAGTAGACAGGAAAATTACAGAATATTGATTGAACAATGTATAAACGAATAGTTATACAAAACTGACATTGTAGCATTAAAGCTAAATAAATCTTCAATAAAGAGACAAGCATCTAGAAGTAGCTCTAGCAACTTATTTTTCCTATTCGTGATACTGAAATAAATTCAACGTCAATGAGCTTCTTTACATTTCACACCTAATTCTAAGAAAATCCTACCAAAGGTATAGTCAAATATATCGTAAACACTATTCTATTTTTAAGCGAAATGTGTTTATGTCAGCCATTTGTTTGCTGTACGAAAAAATGTGAAACACAGATGTCTCAAATATTAATCAAAATAAAAGTAACTGAATTTGATTAGACTCATATACAGGGTGGCCCATCCATGTGTGGACGGAATATTACTCATAAAAAATACATTTTGGGAAAATCTATTTATGGCATGTTATACACGACATTTGAGGGCACATTTCTAAAATATTGACAAGTATACAGGGTGTCCCAATTTTGACCAAAATATCAAAAGTTGTGATCTTCTAAGCGGAATGGCTCAAATTTTATTATATATTTGGATAAACCAATTCGAAAGAAGAAGATATGGTTTTGGTAATTAGCTACTGTGTTTTGTCCAGAAAAACCGTCCACTTCGGCAACCCGTCAATCCGCCATTTTGAAATTTGGGGTGCTGAATTTTGAATCAAAAAAACCTTTCATCTTATTTGTTATTTTTCCGAATTTTTATTTTTGCTCATACAGGGTGGTCAAAAACGCGAATTGTACTTTTTCTCAAACATTTCAAATGCATCACCCTGTATGTTTGTGCAAGTTTGGATTCGATTTTTTATTAGGTTTTTTTGATATACGGTTTGATTCAGATAAAATCACTAAATTTTTATTAAGCTTTTAATAGAACAACACACCAAAATTAAGGAAAAAATTCACATCATCCATGGAAACAAAAGACAAACAGTGGGCTAGTTCCATATTGCCACTAAGAGTACACATTTGTTGTGAACACGAATAACAATCAGAACTGTATAAATCAGCTTCAAGCGTAATAGAGAAAAATAACAAACAACTATCACTACTCAAAACCTAATCTACAAAAACTGCTCGAAAATATCTCCACCATGTTGAATACACAGCCGCAGTCTTTATATAAATGACCGTTGCACATCCCGCAGCATGTATTCCCTTATGTTCAGAAACGCATCCTTAATCCTGTCCTTCATATTTTCCGGGGTAGATGGTGGATATCTATAAACCTCTTGCTTAACGTAGCCCCATAGAAAGAACTCCATCGGTGTCATATCTGGTGATCAGCTGTCCAAATAGTTACGCACACGATTATGATAATGCACAGGTGCCCCGTCACGTTGGAAGTACATATGCATCCGAGTTTGAAGGTTGACATCCTCCAAAAGCAAAGGCAAATGCTCGATCGAAAAATTCAAGTATTCTGTACAAGTTAATCTGTTGTCGCAAAAGAAATACCCGATAACTATTTTGGAAATAAATTTGCCTAACCCAGCAAGGGTTTTTCGTCGCATAATAATGCATGTTGTGCCTGTTGACCATACCTATGCTGTTAAAAGTTGCCTGATCGCTAAAACGAACCTTTTTCAGGAAAATAGGACTCACTTTATTTACCGTCATTCGAGCTGCGAAATCCTGAGGACGAAAGGCTTGATGCAAGCATAGGTAATATGGACGGTACCTATGCTTGTGAATAATCCTTTGGACAGAAGTTCTGCATATATCAGTTTCTGCTCCAATTTGCCGTGCACTTAAATAGGGATTTTCTTGCAACTTTAATAGAACCTCCAACTGATTCGCCTCATTGGTGACACTTTGATTATTTATACATTTTTTACTATATTCCACTGCTCCACTTGGTTTAAAACGTTCTCGTAGTGTGGAAAATGTTTCCGGCCTTGGATATCGCATATTAGGGTACCGTTGCCTATAAATGCGAGATGCTAGGAAACTATTTCTTTGGGCTTCGCCCAAAACGAACACCACATTCAAGATTTCTTCTTTAGAAAAATTCTTTTTGAAACACGTTTTGATTATAATGCTCGCAAAGCTAATTTTGACAGTTTGTAACTAATCAACAATTTATTTGTTTCCAAGGATGATGCAATATTTTAGGGAAAGGCAATGAATCCCAAAACAGTCCTTATTTCATCATGGTTCCTTGATACCTATACATTGCATTTTATAGAAAAAATGAACAAAGTATAACCTTATTTGTACATGCAGCTAAAGACCACAGATGAAATGTTTCGTTTTTTTTTTTTTAAATTTAAGAGAAAATTCAATATTTCAAAAACGGTGACACTTTTATATAGGTTAGTTCAATTTGAAAGGTGGAATGTAATCGTATCATCTTCGTAACCCCCGATTCTCAGTGTTCATGTTTCTTATTACAAAACTAGCTTGAGTTTCAGAAAAATAATGATTCCAAGAGCTTAACTACAACACCCCATATCTCACGAACGACATTTTATACTTTACGAAAGCATATTTGGCTGAAACGTTATTATTCTCATGAGCTTGACCTGGCTCTGGCACTGATTCCTTCTTAATGTAAGATCTGAACTATATCTCGTGGTTTTCATATTGAAAATCCTCGGTTTTTCTGGCCGTTAAGTAAAACCACATGTATAGAGTCAACTCTTTCCTGACGCTGGGAGCAGCTTGTGTGGTTGGAGGTCAAACAGCCAGAAGCACATAGAAAATGCTACATTTGACAGAAAGGTAGCCTATTTTTGACGTCTGTTGACGTGAATAGCTGATCAGCAATTGATATCTTTGTTTATAACCTCACACGTCACTTTGAACCTTCTAGCGCCATCTAATTTCCAGATTACCTCCATTAGGCCCGCTTTTCAATCGCAAGTTGATTTTCAAGCTAGGTAACTATTACTTGGAAGTTAACTATAAGATATGCGAAATTTCGTTTTTCAAGTTCTGGCTAACTTCTAATCCGGTAACGCCGTTTCGGCGTCTGGACTGTCCTGTTCGATGAGTATCATCCACTGCCACTGCCACTGTCAAGCAAAATAGATCAGATAATTGCGGTGTAACTAAGGTACTATAAAGAGGGTATGCTCTACCGCCATGTAAAATTTAATCGCTGGGACACAAAACACATAAGACTGTTACTAGGGGAAAAACAATGGTATAGATGATAAGCTAAAGTTGCTCCTACTATAGAGCACGTGTATAACTACAACTTAATATTTCACCAATACCATTCACTGGTTATAGTTGACTACCCTTTAGGTCAAACATGATGTTGCAAAACACATTTGATGTTTAACTTCCAGTTAGCAGAGAAACTGCACTTAATCTGCGATTGAAAAACTAAGCTTTAGATTTCGTCGACTAGGTGGTCGTACTACATCCAGTTTCAAACCGCCTTGGATTCTTCCCAAATTCTGTTTGACGACTTCTAACATACTAAATGAACTAAGCAAGAGTCACCGCGTGAACAGACAAATTCATCTGATTATACAATCTTAAATCGTAACTTCAATCACTTCTGATCGGATTCACGTATTCCTGCAAAATCTTTTAAATATTCATTACTATCGGGTTCTTCATAGATACGCCCATTTAAAACTAGAATACGGAAAGCCATATCCTCGGCACTTAATGAAACGCTATAATGAATTCAATCTACACCAAAGAATAATATTCTCTCGTGGTTGTATTGTTTCGTAACACATTTTTACATCATCACATCTCGAATGGCTCTGCAAATGCAAATTCATATTTATGTACGTTTCATTTTAAACGATGAGTCAACATCTAAGGTGGCGGTGCATTACCTAACGGCTTTGTTTACAGAAATGACACCATAAATCAATAACCACGGACCGACCTGATTGGTTTAAACGTTTTTACGACTGAGTTGTGCCCAATTGGCGCACAGTTTCGCACATAAAAATGTTAGAAATTCTTTTCACTTTCTATTCATGTTTTGGACGTTCCACTTTTTGAATTCCAGCATTTTTTCAACAATTTATCTAGAATGCAATTTTCATGCATTCATTCTTGCCTTTTTACTTCCCACACGAACTGGCGGGGAAATATTTTACTTAATCGCGAAAATTTTCGAAAAGGGTATTATGTTTTCATGGATGTACAGGGTGCGGCAGAGAGGATGGACGGTTTTAAAAAAATCATAAAATAGTTAATTTTTACTCGAAAACAAATTTATTGATGGAATCAGGTTCACAAGGAAATAGCATTTGAGACAGTCAAGTGTGGAAAATCACATAAGGCATGTGGTGGCCGAAATCGTTGATGCAGTGCTGGAGGCGTTCTTGGAAGTTCGCGTAGACTCTCTCCAACATCGCTCTCTCAACTTGGGCGACTTCCACGCGAATCTCGCCCTTCAATTCGTCCAAAGTTCGGGGCTTGTTCGCGTATACTCTAGCCTTGAGGTGTCCCCATAAGAAAAAATCGCATATGGATAAATCTGGGGACCGAGGAGGCCAATGAACATCGCCAAACCTGGAAATAAGGCGACCAGGGAAGAGAGGGCAAATAACGTTCATGGATGCTCGGGCTGTGTGGGCGGTCGCACCATCCTGCTGCCGCACCCTGTACTTATGAATGTTTTGGAAGACACGAGCCATGCAGATCCATTTGTTTGGTCGAAAAGGACATACGCCACACATAACAGAATTCAAAATTAGATACTATACGGGTAGACACAAGTATCAAGTTACTTGAGGTCTACGATAGTCGTTCTCAATAAGGATCATCATCTAACCAGCACAAAAAGTGTTTTTTACGTAACAAGCATAAGCCACATCTATAACGGCGGCAAAGTGATAAGCCATAAATTTATCTATTCGTCCGAGTTACTCAGAGTCACTATCAGAGTCGGAGGATACTGTATGTCCTTTACGGTGTCGTCTGAGTTAAATCCAGTATCATATTTTTGTTCACTGCATCATTTAAA